ACAAGATCTCCACTCTATTAATGCCTGGTCGATGAGTAACAACATGAAATTACACCCTAAAAAGTGCAAGGACTTTACCATCTCTTTTCTTCGCAACCCCCTGCAAGAACTGTCTTCTACATTGTCGATCAACTCCCAACCTTTAGAGAAGGTCACCTGTTTTAAACTGCTAGGAGTCACCTTACAAAACGATCTAAAATGGAACGCCCATGTTGACTCTATCACGTCCAAAGCTTCAAAGAGACTTCATATTTTGCGAGTTTTGCGTAACTCCGGTGTGTCTGCCAACGACCTCCTGACTATCTACATTTCGATTATCAGATCTGTGCTAGAATACTGCTGTGCAGCCTGGAATACATCTATCCCCTCCTACCTTTCCGACAAAATCGAGAGGGTTCAACGTCGTGCTCTACGGATTTTATATCCAAACATGTCCTATTCAACCGCGCTTGCTACCTCCTCTCTTCCCCGTCTATCCGATCGTCGTGATACTCTTTGTAAGAAGGTTTTGGTTAAAATAACAATACCATCATCACGCCTTAACCGCATTTTACCTCCGACCCGGATTGAGTCGCATGGCAGAGAACTGCGCCACTCTAGTAATCTTAGCCTATTTAAGTGTAGGACGGACAGATTTAAGAACAGTTTCTTCCCAGCTATGTGCTCACGTATTATGAACAAGTCATGACCGTTGTCAATTAGGTTTACAATCTAAATTTCCATTTTTATATAACTCCAATTCCTAGTTTTAAAAAGTAACAGTAGTCTTCATAATTTTATGCTTGTAAAAATACTATAATTCACTATTACTTGTATTAGTGCGATTGTATTTTAAATATACCGTCTATTATTATTATTGGTTTTACACAGTAGAGTTAATTAAACAAAATTTGTACAAACATTTTAAAATAAAAGAATCCTCAACCTCCCGAGCCTCATTACATTGTCATTTTGCTTTCTAACATAAATATTTTTCTTTAGAGATTAATACAAGAATGATGAATAAATGTACTGGATATTGGCTGGATAATTTTGTCAGAACAACCAACTTGCAAGACAATCTTACCTAAATTCATTAGTATGGAAAATAACTTAACAGCTACGGGCGCGCGCCCCAGCTAGCACACAACGTCATCACAACGTTGGTAGAAGGTTGTGGTAATGTTAGGTCGGACCTAACTTTACCACAACGTTTAGGCGACATTGTTTTCTTTCTTTGTAATAAAAGTTTGTGTGATAAACGTTGCTGCAACGTTGTTGTTGGACGTTGGGATTGAGACGGCCAATTAATGTTTTTCAACGTCTATTTACGACGTTGTGACGACGTTGGAGTGTAACGTTGTAGCAACGTCTAAAAGTGACATTCAGAGGATTAACTCGATCATGTTATCGACGGCCGGATAATTCATAATTGCTGTGAATTTTGGTTGAATTAACCTGGCTATAACGTCAACAAATGAACAACGTCGACACTAGGTTTTTAGAATAATACCTAAATCTTATGTACATTTCAATTTAGCTATACAGCCTATACTGGCAGTCTGGCAATCTAAAAACTCGAATTCTGCGCCGTCTTCTGGCCGGAGTTGCCTTTTGTAAATTATTGAAATATTCAACTGGGCACCTCGCGGCGCACGATTACATTATGATTGACGCTATTTTGCCCGATTTGACTACAATACGAACTTGATCTTCTCGCGTCCCTTAGTGAGATTAAAACTATTTTAATAATTCAAAACTGCATTTTATAAAGAACACGAGAGTGCTGTGGCCGTGGCCGCCTTGGCCATGGGTTCTAATTTGCACGAGCATGCGTAAAGATTACATCATTTCTATTCTCTCATCGTCACGTGGCATTTGAACGCATTCATCCCTGTATCAGATGCAACTACCTGAAACTAAGAAATCAATGAACTTCAACATTTCAGGTGAAAGACCTATAGTATTATTTTTCAGGTGGTTGCATGATACATTCAAGCCTTTAAATAGTGTGGTGGCTTAAACTACTTTTCTCATTTCCTTTCTTCACTTTCTTACTCTTTTGTCTCTAGTGAAAACTTTATTTTACAACATTTTAATTACATAATCTCTTTTTGGTCTAATTGCAGAATTATTTGATGGTGAGACAGTTCATAGTTCAACCTCTTTATTAAAGAATAATCAATTATTAGAAATAATTAATTTTGTTAGCAGTGATAAAACTATCCAGACAAGTTATTATTATTATGACTTTGTAGCCAGATGGGTATGATGTTGATTTGGCTGTTCAGTATTTTGATCCATTGTGATATGGCTTGTGGTACCTGTGAATTATTTTACCTGAAAAATGAATGACAGAATATCAGAATGTAACATTACATTAAGATACATCCTTACACTGCAATATAGTTATGTAATAGATGTTCAGTGTAAAGAATATGGTCTTTGACACTTTTTGTATATAATAAACATGCTATATATTGTGTAATGGAAATGATCAAATAAAGTTATTTATGCAACAGCCCTTGCATTCAAACACCTTATTTGTATTTTTCTTGTTCATGCTTGAGCATCAGCCTCAGGATAAGCAAATTCCATTGGATTTGTGAGAGCACTTGAACTATATTGGGTCATTATACATGAATTACAGAAAAGATTCAGACTCCCACAGCCTGAGCTACAAGTTACAGTTGTGACAGTGTAGAGGGGGATCCACAAGTAAAATGTGCAAAGGGGAGCTAGGGGGGGGGGATACAAATAAAAAAATGATGTTTAATATGACTTAAATTATTAAGCAATTGAGTGCACTAGCACTTTCCCCTTAACAAGTAAAATTATGTGGTATTGGACTGAGTAAGATAACAAAATAGGGCATAGTGTTTCTTAATTAATCACTTATAATAAAGGTTTAAATGCTGATTTTTTTGAAAGTGCCAGAGTGGCAACTGGCAGGGTATTGAAAAGGTAGGTTGTGCACATGCATCCTAAATAAATACTGCTACAAAAACCTGGTATTTAACAGTTAAAACCAATCACGAATTTCATTATTTTAAAGTAATATAAAATAAAACAAGTCGGGAAAAGGATTTTGAACCCAAGGTATGAGACAAAACTACAGTATGAGAATGAGTTTGAATATAAAGAACAACAAAAAAGAGGATACAAAACTACTGTGATATTGTTGAAATTTATAGCAATATTATACATTTGCTGTTTATAACGACAGTTTTTGACATAATCTTTTCATGCTTTTCCATCGAAATGACAAGTTAATTTGTCAAGCAGCCCAAGCTTTGGCAAGCTAGAATTAAAAAAAAGTTAAAAAATAAAACTTTTGTGAATCTCACCTGAAAACAAGAAATATAATAATCCTTTCGAGGTAAATGTTTCGTCTACAAGCAGAGCAAAAACTGAAAACTAACGCACTTTTTTTCTCGACTGCAAAAATATCAAGATTTTCAGTCAAATCTCGAAAATTATGATCAAAATTTTGGCAAAAACCAGGGGGGTGAAGGATTTTATTTTAAGCGTAGGATCGCGGTTGGTCAGTGGTAGTTGCCATGAGCCGGAGGAACCATATGGCGTCAGCAAACCTGAAAATCCGCCATGTTTTTCCGGACACTCGTTTGACTGAAGGATAGATAGGAGCACGTCCTCCAGTAATATTATAGCAGTGTTTCTTCCCCACTTGCTTGATCTAAATTCAAGATGGCCGCCAGTCTTCCGAACAATTTCGAACTGATATATTTATTTTATATAGGTATATATTTTATACATATAGCCTTATATAAAATATAGAAAGAGTAGAACTTTTTAACGAATTCTGGCCATTGCTGAACTCATTATGATTGCGTTTAATATGTATGCTTCATACTCAAGCCTATATTAAAAAGGAAACTAGTATGGAATGTCTATTTTTGTGTGCTGGTGTAGCAGTCTCAGTACTCCCAGGTCTGGGTTCTCTCCCTTAAACACTCTTTAAATTTAAGTAAAAATGTCTTACAATTGTTGAATTTGTTTGCAAAACGAGATAAAGTAGCAGTGCTTTTTCAAAAAATAGAAGTATTGAAAAGATCAGTTGTGTTTCTTAACACATAGGCCATTGCTCTGTTAATTCAAAAGGAAATATCAGACCGGGGTATAACTGAGACCATGACACAGCACACCTAACACTGTTAACCCATTTACTGGCAGTACTCTACCACTGACGTGTAGAATTGTCTGGCATTACACGGAGTAAATACATAAAGTAGGGTCATTGCCAGTTAATGGGTTAATAATAGACATTGGCAAATAGGTTCGTTACTGTGGTTCCAATTGAAGTGTTGCTCAAATATTGATTCAATACATTACCTCAGGCTGACCAATTCATTTCATCAAGTTCCTCGAGATATTCATACACTTCCTAGTATAATTGTAAACTTCCTGTTGAATAGTTTGAATGCACCAATCACCTTTGTTGTTTGTGCAACTAACCAATCATAAATAGAAAGGAAGTGACCAGAAATGATCAAATACTTGGAAATATTGGCTCTTTCACAGAAAATGTATGAATATCTCGAGGAACTTGATGAAATGAATTGGTCAGCCTGAGGTAATGTATTGAATCAATATTTGAGCAACACTTCAATGGACCATGCATCATAGACTAAATTTTGATCTAACCAAAAATTTCATCACAGCTTGAAAGAGCATCACAAAATTAGTAATATTCCAAAGTTTCGTTGCGAAATGTTGTAAAATGCGGATAATATAGCCTTGCAAAATTTGCAATTTTCAGTCATTTTGCATTACAAACGGGAAATTGATGCCCCAACACCCGATTGGGCTGTCAATTTCCTGCGCGTAATACAAAATGACTGAAAATTTGTGGTGCTGCAAATGGTTCCTTGCATGATGAGGGTGATATAGGTGTGACAGGAAATGAATGTAGCTCTGATAGCGAAGATGATTTAAATGATGAATCTCTTCATGGCGAGCTAGCTAGTTGGGCGAATGAGTTTCTAGTTAAACACAATGCAATGGATAGCTTGCTTGCGCTTCTTAAAAAGAGTGGTCACCCAAATCTACCCAGTTCTGCTCGTACACTGTTGGGTACAACAAGATCTATTTTTGTTAAAGTGAAGTCTGGAATGGATTATGTTTATCTGCCTTTAGCTGCTGAATTGTTGAAACATTTTAAGAGACATCCTCCCAATATAGTTGATCATATTGATTCACTTGAGATTTCTTTAAATGTTGATGGGTTGCCCTTATTTAAGAGTTGTAACAAAACTTTATGGCCTGTTCTTTGTGCAATTGTGAATGTAAAACCAGTAGTAGCTTTTCCTGTTGTTCTAGCCTATGGGAAGTCCAAACCAAAAGATTTGGAATTTTTGGAAGATGTTATCAGGGATTTGGGTGATGTCCTTGAGAATGGTCTGCAAGATGGTAATAGAGTTCTTCCTGTAAGTTTGAGGTGTGTTGTGTGTGATGCCCCTGCAAGAGCACTTGTCAAAGATACCAAATTATGCTCCGGGTACTTTGGTTGCGACAAGTGTGCGCAATAAGGCATGTGGGTTGGTAGAGTAGTTTTAAAAAATGCAAAACAATGGACACTTCGAAAACGGTTAACATTTTGATTCGACGTTTCGACTAGCTTGCAGTCATCATCAGGAATGACGCTACTACGAAATACAAAACTATATATAAAAGATCAAATTAATCAAATATGATATGTGTTAGTTAAAAATTATGAGTTTACCCTTTAATTAGGGACATTGACTTGCGATCTGATTATTCCTTTCGCGAGCAGGTTAATGAGGCACATCATTTAAGTGTGAGTCCTTTTTGTACTTTACCAATCGATATGATTAAAAAGTTTCCTATCGACTATATGCACCAGCTGTGTTTGGGAGTGACTTGGATTAGAGGTAGCCGGGAAGTCAAGTTGTCAGCTGGTCAGGTCGAGGAGATCAGTAATAGATTAACTGGTCTGAAACCATTTGTTCCAAGTTTCTTTGCACGTAAACCAAGAGTCATGGCAGAAATCGATAGGTGGAAGGCAACTGAGTATAGGCAATTTCTTGTGTATACTGGTCAGATAGTTCTCAGTGGTATACTAAGGACTGATCTATATGATCACTTCTTATGCCTTAGCGTTGCTAGTTCCATACTGATATGCCCTAGGTTAGCTTTGCTTCATAGGCTGTATGCTAAGCAACTGATGGAATACTTTGTGGAGCAGGGGAAGGTTTTATATGGCAATGAGTTTAAAGTGTATAATGTGCATAGCATGATACATTTGGCTGATGAGGTCCAGGAGTATGGAAGCTTGGATGCATTTCCATTCGAAAATTATATGCAGAAATTAAAAAGATTGGTTCGGTCTGGAAAGAACCCTATTGCGCAGATAGCCAAACGACTAAGTGAGAGCTATGGTGCCATCCCGCAGTCCCGAGAAGCAGTAATCAGTCTGAAGAAACCGGACAATTGTTTTATACTGAGTGATTCATCTTGTTGTGAGGTGCTTGATAAATCTAATCATTCCGATGATGGCGAAAATAAATATTTGTGTCGTGTATATGAGAGGACTGAAGCTCTATTTCATCGACCATGTGATTCTCGCCTCATTGGTGTGCACAAAGGGAATCCACGGTGGACAACTATGAAAGTTGTGTCAGCACAATCCCTCAACAGAAATGCAATGAAGGTTGATCTTGGGCCAAACAAGATTGTTTTTATGACTATCCTACACAGTAACTAAGATTACAAACTCATCAGACCATATTCTTTTGTATTTTGGAGGTTTTTAATTCCTCCGTAATAACCTTCATTCTAAAAGCAGGCGGTGGTATTTGATTTCTCCGGGGGAAATACGGGGTTGAAGGTTATTACGGAAAAATAATAACCGGGTAGCAGGTTATTACGGAAAAATAATAACCGGGTAGCAGGTTATTACGGAAAAATAATAACCTGCTAGTCTGCTACCAGGTTATTATTTTTCCGTAATAACCTGCTACCCGGTTATTACGAAAAAATAATAACCAGTTACCTGGTTTTACATTTTCAATTCAAGACCTGGCATGAATCTTGAATTCGGGACTTGAATGTGCAGGAAAACTCAGGACCCACATCTCCTTTTCGACTAGAAAACGTTGCAACGTCCCTAAAGTCGAGAAAGAGACAACAGCCGTGTACCTCAGAGCCCGTCAAAACTCTACCATTAGGTAAGAGTATCTATCATTCGGCGCACGAGGACTAGCTGGATCAACCATCAAACATGCTTGTGCAGGGAATTTATACAGTAATATCTGCTCTTTTGCTTGTGGGACGTGAAATGATATACTGCGCATGCTTAACCACATTTTAAATCGTGTTAATGCGCATGTTACACCTAGTTATTTCGTCCCACAACTGCAGCGACCTCTCATTGAATTAATATAGCTTGAATTTTTAATGAAGAAAACCTCCAAAATTCAAAAGAATATGGTCTGATGAGTTTGTAAATATAGGTTAAAAGCCAAGGGAGAGGTTTTTATTAAACTGTAAAGACCTCCCCCTTGGCTTTTAACCTATATATAAAATGCCAAAGGTATTGTATGTGCCTGTCCTAATAGTTACAATAATGTGACTATTTCCTTGTGGGATAAATGAAAATGAAATCATAGAAAGTTAAAAGTAAAATTTACAAATTTCTTCATTGCTCAAATAATTGTAGCAATAGCATAGGAATATTTGCTTTTGTTTGAACATATCCAGACATATAGTCTATAACTGCAAATATATATCTTTTTCATTGAAGATGACTACCACTGGTTTTGCTGTTGTTGAGTTTGTCGATGAAAAGTCAGTTGAGATAATTTGTGAAAAATGGATAGAGACATGTGATGGGGTAAGTATTGCAATTTTCAATAATTATATGTAGCGGTATGTATGGGTGATCATAAAGGAAACCATATTACGTCGAGGATGTCATATATTTTGCAAAAGATTGTTAAACAACAGAACCAGCTATATGGTAAGTATTTTATAATGCAAGGTGTCTATTTTTTATCTTAGGTTATGTACAGCTACTGGCCACAGTTAAATGCAAAAGGAAAAGCTAAAAAAACTGAGATCCCCGACAAAGAATTATGGAAGAAGTATAAAATAAGGGTGTTGTCATACACAGGTATTAATGTATTTTAGTATAATGTATTTTAGTATAAAACCATGTTCTGTTTGCCCATTCATGCAGTTCACCTATAAATCTGGTGCAATATTTATTGCTACAAGCATTAATTATTGTGTTGCAAAATAACAGTATGTGTACCTCTCTAATATCTGTATTGTCCATATTAGAGAGGTACAACTGTATTTGAATTTCAGTCGTTGTACCATTTTCTAATGCTTTTAGATAATTTCAAGACAGCTCAAAAGCGGTTAAAAAAAGCTGAAGAAACATCAAATGTTGATTCAGAGTCTGATTCAGATGGTTGTGAAAGAAGAAAGAGGTCAAAACCTAACACCCCAAGAAAGAGAAGTCGACCAGGAAGTTACCATTATGCTGAACTGTCGTAATGTTACGATGGTAAGTTTCAACCTGTGAGTTTGTTTGAATAGTTTCCGATTATAAATGTCCAGTAGGATCCTCTAGGAATTCCAGTAGCAAATTCAGACTTTTACTTATACAATAGACTAATGACAGTAATCCCTAAAGGAGTTCCTTAATTAAAACATAAAATATTCTAGTACGATTTTAAAGGAATTCCAATATAAATACATTGTATGACTGCAGCCAAATTTCTTTTTGGAATCCTACATACAACAATAAAGTTATCGATCCATTGAATATAGGTCGATAACTTTTACCAATATTGTAACTGTACATTTACTTTATTCTCTCACATAAAGGCAATGAAACAGATAATCTTGCACATGAAGAAAATTTAACACGTCCTGCTCTCACACCACCTCTTCCTGCAGCACCCATGTTTCCTGTTACATCATCCCCTGGACTAAATAGAAATGGAGATTTCTCAGCTGCCCTTATATCTGCGGTTAACACTGTCTTTGATTCAACACCAAGTGGTCAGAACACCCTGAAATTGATTAATTAGAAGAACGATCACAGTTCCATGTTAACACATTGCAGCTACTGTAACTTTTGAGATTGCTTTTATCTTTGTGCGGATGTAAGCTGTGATAGTCATCCATTACACTCAAGTATGCCTTGTACATCTACCAGTAGTCCAAATTATTCAAATTCTCAAAGACAACATCAAAGTAAGTTTGAAAAATCCGTCGTTATGATTACATAGACGCATTGTCGAAGAGGTTAATTAACATACACTATCTTTGATCCAACTCCGGTTGGTGAGAGCACTTCTGAATTGATTGATTATATTATATAAGCAAATCGCAATTCCATGTTCACTAATTGCAACTACTATAACTTTTGAAATTGCTTTATCTTTGCATAGACGTACATACCAGCCTGAATAATGTGAGCAGTGTTAGTCGTCCAGTTCACTCAAGTACCCCTTGTACACCTATCAGTACTCCAAATTATTCAAATTCTTATAGACAGCATCAAAGTAAGTTTAAAAATTTGTGCTTGTTATCACTACGTATTAGACGTATCGTCTACACACGTAGAAATCTCACATCTGCCAACAAGCTGTCAACAAGATGTATTCGCACTGCTTGATACAAGTTGTCAACAGGTTTGGAACAACTATGATCAGACCTGTTGCAAGGTTGTACGCGTCGCGTACCTATTTTTGTATCTGCGAAGCAGACATATTGCCATCGTGCGCGTACCGGAAGTTTGTAAGCGTTCTCATAGCCAATCAACGACAGCGTATAGATGAAATGACGTGATGATACTAATTCCAAAATGGCGGTTTACTGAAGGGTGAAACAAAAGACAATTTGTGAATTTACGATTAAAATTATACAACAACTGACGCAGTTTAAAACAACGTCATTTTACTAGTCTGAATATGGCAAATGTCGATAGTGCATTTTTGGCAAGCATTTGAAGGATTTCATCATTTAATACGCAGTGGAAACTAAATGATTCGCAATTTTTGACAAGAAAATTATTGACTAATGGCATTGAGAATACTATTATGAAACTATGAAAGTAATGATTCTTTCCATGTTGCCGTTGTAGGTGTATATCGAGTTGTAAGTGTTGATGTTTATGTACTTCTCAATTTAACATTTTCATTCACATTGGTGACTTTAGTTAATATAAAATAGTTGAATGAAACCAATAGAAGGCTATATAATTTCGTAAGGTTACATAATTTCTTTATCAATGATCATAACTATAGACAATTGGTGTCTGTTTTCATTACAGACCTTGATAGATCATTTTAATACAAATTTAGCAGAGTCAGAAGCTAAGTCACACATATTGGAAACATTTCTCTTAAAGCACTTTATAGCAGTATGTGCATTGAATAATTGCTTTCATTAAAGAAAAGCCAAAGTAATAGTGGCTGCATAAGGAGCAGAGATTCAGTTTTAGATTGGAATATAAATACTTATAATAACAGTTGCAACCAGTCATAATTATAATCAACTTGCAGCATATAACTATATATATATATATATATATATATATATATATATATATATATATATATATATATATATATATATATATATATATATATATATATATATATATATATATATATATCCTGGAGGGGTGCTCCCTTCTTCATCCACCCTGATTTCTGCAACTGAATGTCATTGCCAAGAACACCAGGCAAGCAATTTATATCCCCCATTCACCTATCCCATACTATATTGTCTTATAATCAACAACAACCAATATGTCATAATGGGATCTTATTTATAGCACAAAATGTACAAAACTAACATAATATTGTGTTTAGTGGATTTTCTTCCACGACAAAATATTATTGCATGGATCTGGTATGCTGAATTATATCATTCTATTCAAGAACTATATGCATCGATTATACTTCTAATTTCCATACTTGTCATCATTTGTTGCTGATGAATGACTTTCAATATATGACCTATTTTATATATTTACTAGGCATAAACAGTTGATTTGTGTGCCATGAACCCTGACTATGACATTTTCTAAAATGAAATAGATCAATTATAAACAGCAGAAATGTTGATGTTATATATTAATTATGGTATAAAAAGGCTTTCAAAACTCTGCAAATGTATATATTGGCACCACCTGTTATCCTGACAACTTCTATGCATCTACAACGTTCTCGCATGCCTGCTAAAGTTTATTATGAACTATCAAGAAGATTTGGAACCCGAAATGTTCTAACAAGAACACAGGGATGGATTTACTGGGGGGAGGTGCACCCCCCCCCTTAGCCTTGGCCAGAGGGGGTGCAGGAGGGGGGTCCTATTTTTCATGATAAGCAAAAATTATTAGAGACAAAATGAGATACAGAAATTTGAGTAATAATATGATGATAGGCGAACTGTGAACAGCAATTACAATTCAAATACTGTAGTCAAGCAAGACTTTGCAATAGAGAAGCAAGTTGATGGACGGGCGGCACACATGATCGACACAACTCGACACCAGAGTGGGCAGAGCACTCCCCCCCCCCCTATCAGATCATGCTGGATCCATCCCTGCAAGAAAATTATAAAACTAAGATGATTCAAAAAGAACATCATAAAATTGAATATCATCTTTGTGAAGTTATGGCCGGAATTAGTTTCTGCAAGTTGAATATATAAAGCCATTTTATTTTTCTTTCATCTGACATACTATAAATCTAACTTTATTTAACTGGTCAACTGTTAAACATCAGTCCCTTAAATTTTTTACAAGCTACTGAGTGTTGATTGAAGCCCTTGGCAACAGTGCAATTACCATGAGCAGATACATGTACGCTTAGTGTACCTATTTTTCTTTGTGTTTTGCTCCTGAATTATTAATGAGTTTTTGAAGTGCTAATAAGGTGCATAATAGCCACCTAAAGCCCGTTTTCCACTAGGCGGAATTTTGCGCGCGGAGCGGAATTTTGTCTTTTCTAATTAGTTCCACCCGAGAAATTACAAGACAAAGAAGAATTGCGCTCCGCGCGCAAAATTCCGCCTATATTGTAGTAATTTGACAGCTCTAATTGCTTTGAATTAATGATTGGGTAAGAACACAAGGAACTGAAGGAATACTGTATTTCTTTTAAATTTTCTAATTTTTATTTCTTTGAGTTTTGTCCCATGAGTACAAGACCTTGTGTTCTTATCCAACCATTAATTTAAAGCAATTAGAGCTGTCAAATTACTACAATACGTTATAGCTAATTTGAATTTGAAAGGGTTCAGTTTTTTTTATACACACTGTACAGGGTGTCTCAAAAAAACCCAAAATCATTGAAATTGACGTATTGTTCGATATTCAATGCCCTAGCACTAAGTTAATCCCACGAGTGCATAAAAGATTGACATAACTGCTATAATGAATGGTAATACTCAGCGTAAACTTGTTATGTCAGGCATAAAGTACTAAACCCACGAATGCATATTACGCATATTACAATTTACGAAGCATTTTTAAATTCCCATGAGCAAACAAACGTTCACTTTACAAAGATATTTTAATTTTTTAAAACAAATTAATCACCCTGTCAAAATCCTTTGTGTTACGGCATTGAAATTCGAACAATACGTTATTTCAATGATTTTGGTTTTTTTTGAGACACCCTGTAGATCATTCCGCATTGAAGTGATGACTACAAGATTTAAAAGGACATGTCACAATTCGACGTACATTATAATGTTCAAACATTGTTGTGTCGGGACAAAATTCCATTCGCATTACACGTTGCATGAAACAAATTTGGTATAATTTGCATGAAATATGAACAGAACCGTCAACTAAAGAATCAGTGGCGCCGCCAGCTCGATAATTGGGGGGGGAGAATATTCATATCTTCGTGTTCTGCATTATTAACTTCTTTTGAAATCGATTGTTTTTATGGTCTGTGAACACAAATATATGAATATTCGCCACCCCCGCCCAATTATCGAGCTGGCGGTGCCACTGTAAAGAATAAAAGAATGATCGAATAGATATACAAGCGAACTCCTATGCAACTCATTCAATGTCATAACTTGTTCATTCCTTTCAGTTTCAGGCTAAAGGCGAGTAAGCTGTAATAGTGTTTCGTTCAAGATATACAAAAGTTTAACGCATACATTTCACAATGCCGCAACTCACAATACTGTATATATACTGTAGTGTTGGGAAATGTAGTATTTTTAATGTCACGTACTAGACTTATTTCATATACGCAAATTATATGTGAGCTTTTGCAGTACAGACTGGAAGCATGCTACACAAACAATTTGAGCCATGCCTCCAAGACCAAGAGTGGCAACAGGGGCGGATCCAGCGTTATGGGTGACCGGTTTACTAGGTCCACACAACTAAAATTTGAGCCTCTGAAACAGCATTTCCTGCGTTCTGGCGTCACTTTTTAAATGAATTTAATGATTAGAAAATGCATCTTTTTAAGAAAGTTATGGACTAATACGCAGCTCAAACAATGAATTGAACCTTTTCGGAAACCTATTAGCTGAATTGCTGACGCATCGATATAGTTATTATAAGTACAACAAGTAGAGATGCTTTTATTAATATAAACATGGTTGTAATTTTAGATCTATACGTTTTCAAACGATGAACTAGAAACCAAACTACAAGAGCGTAAAAGCTTTACAGTCATTTCCTGATTCTCTCTCGCCAGCGCAATGATTCGGTCACGCAAGATTATAGACATTATACACATATTTCACGCTATCATGAGTATAGACTGTGTAGTTACACGTATAAACATCGCTACGCTTGACGGATCGATATTTACTTTACAGTAAGTAGAAATAGCTTACAGTTATATATACTTATATATACTTTTAAACAAACCTTCAAAATGAACAAGAAATCCATGTAAATGCTTCTATCGCCAACGCAATGATTCAGTCACGCAAAATTATAAACATATTTCGCGCGTCCTCGAGTTCTGTTATAATTAACTTTCATGCCCAGTTTTCTCTAAATACCGCTCGACTCACAGGTTTATGACCGGTTTACATCCGGCGGAGAGCAGCCGTTTAGCCAATCGAATGGTGTATCGACCGGTTTACTCTCATGGAGAAAACTCTGACCACCGGTTTACTCATAATTGCGGGCGGTTATGTGTGATTCATGCGATGTTTACAAGTCCATGACTCACGACGATATATTAGCAGATGATTAGTCTAGTATTACAACATTTCGTAAGAGGAAACCAACGCGATAAGTCCTTAATTATACGCTCGGTAATCCATAATCAAATTTCAACAACCGTATTGCGTAATAGATTAGACAACATCAATTTTATGAAACAGAATATTCTTTAAATTAGTTATATACATGGAAGGATATATATTTTCTCTCTTTGGAAAATTTGACAGGTTTATATAAACCTGTCAAACCTGTCTGAATCCGCCCATGGGCAATTAGACAAGCCCGAAAATTAATTTGTTTTGCTGAACGAAATATGCTTCGCGAAATTACAATTTTGACAGGCACGCAGCTCTAGTATAGGTTTTCTATCTACAGGGTGTCCCAAAAAACCCCGAAAACTATTGAAATCACAAATAACAATTTATAATTGTTAGAATTTGAATGCCTTAGCATTCTGTTGGTTCCCACGAGTGCATAAATGATTGGCAGAAGGAAATTTATGCATACAGAAACTATTTAAGAAGCTGCTTTAAATTCCCAAGAGCAGAAAATCGCGCACTTTACAAGGAGATGTTCTTAACTAAATTTTAATATACATGCACCTTGTCAATATTTTACGCATCATTACGTTCAGCTTTCCCGTAGGGCATTCAATTTTAACAATAAGTAATTTCAATAGTTTTCGGGGTTTTTGGGACAGCCTTTATACAAATTGCCCTTTGTAATAATAGTAAAGACGAAAGACAAATCCCACTGGGCAGATTAACACTGTGGGTTGCGAGCATAATCTGTCAAAATGACTATCTACATATAGTAATGATTTATTATCTATACTATTTCATAACCATGCATTACAAAACGACTAACACAGGACAACATATTTAGCATACAAGATAGGTAATGCAAGCTTAGACAAGCAAGCAAGCTTAGACAAGCAAGCTTAGACAAGATGGAAAAGGAAAACTGGTTCTCAGGACCAGACTGGTTACTTGAAGAGAGAGAGTGGCCAACACAACCGAAGCTCGTGACAACAAAAAGAGTAAGCGAAGAATTCAAGCCTACAGTAGCGGAGGCACTGTTTACCGTGAAGCGAGAGCCGGACGAGTGGGATGCCCTATTTGAGAAGTGCTCCTACTGGAAGACCCTACGAGTGACAGCATGGGTTCTAAGGTTCAAGCACAATGCCCTGGCCAAGAACCGAAAGACGAAGAAGAAGAGTGGTCCACTTACCACCGAAGAGATCGCCAGCGCAGAGGATTGTTGGGTCCGAAGAGTGCAAGTGGACGTTGAATCCGATCTTGCGACACCAGGGTGGAAACTAGCAAGGGACGAAGACACAGGCATCCTCAAGTGCAAGGGGAGGATCCATGGTTATGAGCCTGTTTTCATCCCAAACGGACACTTTGCAGAGAAATTAATCCGTCATGCTCATCAGCAAGTCAATCACCTTGGCGTCGCAAATACGATGTCTGCAGTCAGAGAAAAGTGGTGAATACCTAGATTGAGATCGAAAGTGAAGAAAGTGATCAACCGTTGCAACCGATGTAAAGTATTTAGAGCCAAACCGTATGGGGCGACAGCGACAGCAGATTTGCCGAGATTTCGCACAGAATGCAGCAGACCATTCGGGACGACAGGAATCGATTTCGCGGGACCTTTGAGGTACAAGTTATCGAAGCGAGACGAAGGCAAATGCTACATTATCATCTTTACGTGTGCAACATCCAGAGCCGTTCACCTAGAAGTCACGGAATCCCAAACGGCGGAGGAGTTCCAACGAAAGCTGAACGCGTTTGTGACGCGACGCACGAGGCCGAAACGCATTGTATCAGATAACGCGTCCGTGTTCAAGTCTACCGCCACTTGGATCAGGAAGATACAGAAAAGCGAATCCCTTCAAGACCACTTTGCGAAATTAGAGATAAGATGGCAATTTAACCTCTCGAGATCTCCCTGGTGGGGAGGCATGTATGAACGACTGATCGATCAAGGAAATAAAGAAAACCCTATACAAGACGATGGGAAGATCACATCTGCGTTACGAGCAAATGGAATCAGTAGTTATGGACATTGAGAGACACCTAAATAACCGCCCACTAACATACGTGGAGAGTGACAACGGCGAGGAGCAAGTATTAACACCCAATGTGATTATGTGGGGCCAGAATTCCCATACTATAGAAGATATTGAGATCGAAGGTGATGAAGTCAGCAAGCTTCACGCGAGACTGATGTTGAAACGACAACAGGTATGGCAACGATGGAAGAAAGAGTATATCCACAGCCTTATGGAGAGCCACAGAGTACACAGAGGAGTCGGTAGGGTTCCTGAAGTCGGAGAGATCGTACTGCTGGTCGGCGACGAGAAGAATAGGGGTGAGTGGACGAAAGGGAAGGTTGAGCGGCACATCCAAGGCAAGGACGGTGTAGTGAGGGGCGTGACACTCCTCCACAAGGGTCACTATATTCAGAGGCCCTTAACGCTGATATGCCCGTTGGAAATTAAGGCTGTCGAAGCAGTTCAACCCGAGCAAAGACAAAAAGAAACGCAACAACTGCGACCGAGAAGTACTCGAAAGGCGGCGGAGACAGCGCGTGAACGGATACGTCTAACTGCTGATGCTGATTAATGTTGAAAGACTATGCAAATATATTAACATTGAGAAACATTAGGCCCAAGAAATCCCGGACATTGTTGAGATTGTTGCTAACATTATGCACGTAAAATTAGTTATGTTATTATAATTTTAGGGGAGCGTGAGCGGAAGTTAGTATTCCGAAATATTTAGGATATAGTGGAAACACATAGTGGAAACACAACAAAACAAAGAGCATGGTTTTTTATCGCGATCGAGACAAAGGGTGACATTATATTTTAGTTTCTCTTTATATTTATGATTCTTTTTATGAAATAAATAGTAAAATAACCAAAAGTGAGATTGGGAGTTATTGGGGTGGGGACATATCTGAATTTGCGCTGATGTCATATAACATGTAATACTATTACATTCAGTAATATGTAATTGTGTATGTGTTGTTTTTAATTTGCTTGTAATATGTAAGTTTTGTTAATTTTACGCAATTCAGCCAATTCGGCTGCCATGTAAAATCTATTAAACTATCTATCTATCTATCTATCTACCTATCTATTGTACCGACGAAGTTATTGTGCCGTACAGTTGGGTCTAAAACCATTGAAAATGAACCCCCTTTGGTACTTAAGTTGATGAATTTCACTTCAATAAACGACGCACATACGGCATAATTATTATTAAGTAGGAATAAATCTTAGCTAAGCTACGACACGTTCGTGATTAATTGATTTTTCTTTTGTTATGCATTGTTTTAATTAAGCACAGAGGTGAAAATATGCGATTTTGACTAACATTTTTAATCGGCCTCGTACATGCTTATTTTTTCTCGAGTTGCCATGAAAAGCATGTCATTCAATAGCTAAAAGCCTGATCTTTCCGAATATAAAAACCAATTGTTCATACGCCGAGTAATTGACGTATAATAGCGCGCTGAAGTTCGATTACCTTTTTTTATACACCCTGTATAGAGGGCCCCCTATACCTCTTCACAATATGCTTTCACGTAAAAATATTTTGCCTTTTCACGAGTCACGGATTAAGATAATCATCGATCACATTTCACGGCTAAGTAAAATAGGCCTTCACGCTTCACGCAAAAAGTGTAGGGGGCCCGATCACGTTTCACGGCTAAGTAAAATAAGCGCTTCACGCAAAAAGTATAGGGGGCCCTCTGTATATATTCTCACTTGGATTACAAACCGTAACATGCAAACGGGTGATTATCTTCTATTGAATTCTATTATAGCCAAAAAATGTGAAATTTTGTATTCAATTAAAACAAATATGACTTGCATCACCAGAAAGCTTATAAAAAACTGCATAAAGTAAGACGTTTAGACAGTTTTTTGATTTCTGAAATAGTTTTCGAATTATAAACTGTTAAAAACGCATTTTCAAACATCGAATAATGAATTAGGGACTTTTAGCGAGATAATGTGCCTAATTTACAGCAATAACCATTTGAAGAATAAAAAAACTGTTTAAAAGTCTTTTATGTAGTTTTTTACAAGCTTTCTGATGATGCAAATTATATTTGTCGCGATTGAATTCAAAATTTCACATTTTTTGTTGTAGTAGAATTTAATAGCAAATAATGCTAATAGCATCTTAACTCTCTAAAAAAAAACAGTTTCACGATGGCCCCACTTTTGCATGTTGTTCTACTCATAAAAAGATGCTACTGTGCACAATTTGGTGCTTTTAACCCTCGTCGGAAACATCCATGCACATATCCGCCACACTATCAATGCTGTTTTTCAATAGCTATAGAGGATTGGTGTCGAACATTACTATGTTGCTACTCACCCTCCAGCTATTCAAAAACAGCATTGACACTCAAGAGATGCTCAGATTGAATCTTCACTCAATTAATGTGAGTGACCTTTTACAATACAGGTGTATATAAGGATTAACTTTGTTAGCCGGTTGTCATTCAACAGGTAATTCACTATATGGTACCGCTATAACAATCACAGGAAGCCGAATGCCGATTCAGCAGCCTTATAACATTGTCTATAAATTCGAAAGAGTTTGTGCATATAAAAACAACATAACACGCCGCATTTTCTCCGAATATATAACCCATAACAAAAATATATATATACGCAGTGGCGTAGCCAGCCCGACAATTTAGTCCCGCTATGCAAATTCAAAATTATTATCATCATTCATTTCTTTAGAAATTGATTGTTTTCACAGTCAATGAACACGAAAATATTTGCATAGCGGGACTAAATTGTCGGGCTGGCTACGCTACTGTATACGCACATGAGACAAAAATAAAGTTTTTAAAAATTTTGGGTTAAATCTAAATAAACACGATCAACCACACTACGTACGGCTGTAAAAGAAATATATACTAAAACTGTCTGTACCAGTGTTGGTAGTACCAATGTGAAAATGCTGTGCTGAGTAGTTATATTACTACCTTAAAAAATAAGCAGAAACTCGACGTTTCGAGCGAAGGCTCTCCGTCAAGAGTTAGTAGCAGAGAGATATACTAGGCCTATATACCGAGCCAAGGATTCGAGCTCGGAATCGAGCTCGGATTCGAGCTCGGATTCAAGCTCGGATTCAAGCTCGGATTCAAGCTCAGATTCTTATCCCATACCTGTGTTAAAAGCGGCTTTCTGATTGGTTTAGAGCAGGTGAGCTTGTCGTCGAGCTCACCTGCTTTTTGCCGAACTCACCTGCTTTTCGCCCGAACTCACCCGCTAAACTGCTTACGTTGCAATAACAATAACAAATATGGCGGACAAGATTTAGCCGATAAACTTAAACTTTAAAGAACTTTTTCGGTGACTAACATACTGAGACTGAAGAAAAACCAAAGAAAAAATGCAGTAAAGGTAATGTAGACGTAGATAAAGAAGTATTTTCTTGCCCAATGATTTTTTTGGCCTGGAAAAACATCGACGAATATATCGCGAAGAGCTACAAAATTACATTTAATGTGTGTATGCCTCGGTGTATGGGATAAAAACCAAACGTACTTGCAGGTTCGGTGAGTCCGGGATTGGACGCACCGAGGGTGGCTGGAAGTTTCCCGAACTTACCGAGCGAAGCGAGGTGAGTTCGGGAAACTTCCAGCCACCCGAGGTGCGTCCAATCCCGGACTCACCGAACCTGCAAGTACGTTTGGTTTTTATCCCATACACCGAGGCTGACCGAGCCATACACACATTTGTAGCTCTTCGCGATATATTCGTCGATGTTTTGTGAACATTTTCCCAGCCAAAAAAATCACTGGGCAAGAAAATACTTCTTTATCTACGTCTACATTACCTTTACTGCATTTTTTCTTTGGTTTTTCTTCAGTCTCGGTATGTTAGCCACCGAAAAAAGTTCTTTAATTTAAAGTTTAGGTTTATCGGCTAAATCTTGTCCGCCATATTTGTTATTGTTATTGCAACGTAAGCAGTTTAGCGGGTGAGCTCGGGCGAAAAGCAGGTGAGTTCGGAAAAAAGCAGGTGAGCTCGACGACAAGCTCACCTGCTCTAAACCAATCAGAAAGCCGCTTTTAACACAGGTATGGGATAAGTTATAGAGTCGGATTCGAGCTCGGAATCTGAGTTTTATTATAGTCTAGGACCTGCATATGAGTTTGTATGTGTTTCACTTAGCAGAGGTAATCTCAACTGTTTTAGGGTAAAATGACCATGGCGGTCAACATGGCATATGTGCCAAAACATGAATCCGGGACAAAAGTCCTGAAAATGATCCCGCCCTGAAATGGCAGTGTCGACATAGCTGTAACTTCCGAAAAGGAAAAGCGATAGCCTTTCTGAAGTGTTTAAAGTGTTCAGAAGTGTTGCTTTTTAGGGATGGTCAGTAGCCTGAAATGTCAGGCGTTCTCCCCGCTTGAATCTGACATTTCAGGCTAGGGTGGTCAGTGGAAGGAAAAATTTGTCTAAGTATAATATTTTACAAGAAAATGACCATGCACCACCCCCAGGTAAATTGCTAATTATGCATAAATAACTAATGTGCCTGGCAGAAGTGAAATATCCCTATTTCCTAAAAACTAATATCATGAGGATTGTCATAAGGATTGTCATAAGGATTGTCATTGTTTTCTTTAAATACAATACCATATTTTGCCGTCTTGTTTGCTTTTTATCGTCAACTGAAATCTGGCAAATATCATCCAGTTGTTGCACTTTTACATAACATGGTTGAAGAAGATTTCAAAGGAGGTTTCATCAGGTTTTGAAACAGTGCAGTGTAATTATCTTCGATATTGTGTCCTTCGATATTTCGTGAAATACTGAAATATGGCGCCATTATAACTAACTGCAATGGCTCGCCGCTTCTCTGCCCGATAAATGCCACTTATTCGTCTTGCTGTGTATTTAGACATTACAGTACCCAATAGTACTTCATTGTAGAATAGTCCCAATCGAATCTCATAAAACTTGTTGAATACAACAATCCAAATTCGAAAAGAAGTATTAATTCTAATTTAAAAGTCACGCGCAAGTATTAATTTAAAAGTAAAACAATACAAACGCCGTCTTACCTTGTTTATTGTAACATATTTCACATTTTCACATAGATATAGGAGGTATAGATCGCCGACTCAGATCGCGAGGCGTGACATTTTGAACAATCCAAGATGGCGAAACAAGCGGGGAAAAAAAACGCGGGAAATTTTTTTCCATATAAACACATTAGTCTTCGAGCGTTCTGCGAAGTTCTCGGCTGTTTTGAAGTGTTTTAAAGCGTTCTGATTTTAGTTTTTTTGGCTAAAATATTGAGCAACACCCACCTGGCTTTGTTTTTATTATCCAAAACTACAATGCCACAGTCTTGAGCGCGAATGAGCGGCGTAGAACTGTACGAATAAGAGTCTGGAGAGTGACATCGAACAGTGGAATTGCTATTTTCATTCCACAGGTAGAATATGCATTTTATAAATGTTTTAATGCCACTTTTTTCCGACTTTAGTGGGAAAATATAGTTTATCTTAAATAGGAAAATATAGTTTATCTTTGTATTATCAATTCTTTTGTTAAAAACGTGAGATTTTTGTCCTT